GAATGTGATGGCAGATAAGAACCATTCGGCCCATCTAGTTTGCTTAATGTTCTAAATACTTGCATTAGTGCCTGGCCTTATCTTATAGTTAAGATAGCCTTATGCCTATCCCACGCATGCTTAAACTTCTTTACTGTGTTTAACCTTTACCACTTCAGCTGGAAGGCTATTCCATGCATCCACTACCCTCTGTCAAGTTATACTTGCTGATATTATTTTTAAACCTTTGCCCCTCTTATTTAAGACTATGTCCTCTTGTTGTGGTAGTTTTTCTTCTTTTAAATATTGTCTCCTCCTTTACTGTGTTGATTCCCTTTATGTATTTAAATGTTTCTATCATATCCCCCCTGTCTCGTATTTCCTCTAAGCTATACATGATAACTTCCTTTAAGCTTTCCTTGCTAGTTTTATCCTGCAATCCATTAACCAGTTTAGTAGCCCTTCTCTGAACTCTCTCTAAAGTATTAATATCCTTCTGGAGATACGGTCTCCAGTACTGCGTACAATACTCCAAGTGAGGTCTCACCAGTGTTCTGTACTATGGCATGAGCCAATTACTGAACATGTTGGCCCAAAGAGAACCTGAATACCCAGAGGGCAGACAAATATTAAAATGTAGGGTGACTTACTGAAATGCACATGATACGGTTTTATGAACTTGAGGACTTTTAGCAAGGAGATTAAGACATTTAGAAGATATTCCCCTTTATAGAAAATAAGGAATTTTACATTTATGTGTACAGAGAATGTATATACAAGTTTATTTTTGATTTCCTGTACCACATGTATAGGCCCAAGTTTGTGCCTGACAAAAATTTAGACAGTCAGTTGCAACACCTAGCCACATAAGTGCATGAATACCCAGGGCAGACAAAGAAAACTGCAAGGTGACTAAAATGCATATGCTAAAAGTCGATATGGCCTAGTGTGGGCCAAAAGTGCTGCATAACTGCTTGCTATTATTTTGTAATAATAGCTTAATAACTTTGTGTATAAAACTAGTGCACTCAGGGTAGGTGCAAGGATTTTTGTCTACATGGCCGAAAGAACGGCCAAAGAAGCATTCTGCTGCCCCCAAAATTTGTCTTTACCTGTCTGTCTAAAATACCCCTTTTGCCCCTTACCTATCCTTTTTGGCATCTTGCCACCTCTTTCTCTTTTTGCACATTGTATCCCCTTTATGTTATTTTCTCATGCTAACCCCTAACTCCCTTGTCTCCTAACTCCCTTGTTTAACACACAAACACTGACACTTACACAGACTTACTGTCATCTTTGTTTAAAAAGTGTCCAACCAGGTATAGCTGCACTGTACAAGCTTCCCTTCTCTCTCCACACTTCTTGGCCGCCGGGAAATGATGTCATGTAGTCCAGCGGCCTTTAGTTCGTAAAGAGATTGGCCAAGTCTGCTCCCATTGCTGAAACCTCCCCCCGTGGCTGCATGCTTTTTTCTCAGATCACACAGCAGGCTAGGTAAAATGGTAACAAGGGCATTTCTACAATGAGTGACTGGTGGGAGAGGGACTCTCTGTGATCCCACCTCCCACTGGTCATTCGGACGTCTTAGTGCCCCTCAGGTCGGTGCGCCCTAAGGAGGCCGCCTGTGCTGCTATATGGTAGAGCTGTCCCTGTGTGCACTATGTTTAATTTTTTGTTTATATTTATGCATACAAGGAATTTAGAATAACAAAGAACAAGACAAGAACACTGTTCCATTACACTAAATTCATTATTTTATGCCTTTGTTACATTACTTTTAACTATTATTTTGCAGTGCGGCCCACATTTATATGCCTAGCTGTTGTGATATACTACACATATTAAGGAACCGCGCACACATAAAAATAGTTTTAAATTTGATAAGGCTACTTAAGATCGTCTATCTCAACAAACAAATATGGGGATTCAGCTCATCCCCATTGGCCATATTGTGTAAAGCCACCACTACTTCATAGTATCCCAATATCGATGGGTGCTACACGAATTCCAATGACAAATTAAATAGTGCTAGTGCCGAATAAGCTAAAGTTTATTTAATTAATTTGTTGTAAGATCATTGTGAATATATATAATGCAAAATGAATGTGACAAAAACACAATACAAAAAAAAATGCAGTTTTTAAAACTAAATAATTAAAATGATTGTGCTTTGATGTATATACTCACAATGCATATCTTATATCTGCTCTATATCAAATTTAATTTATAATTAAAGTGACAAATATCCAAAACCTCCCCAAATTTATACTTTTCTTGTGGTCACCTCCAAAGAGGCATCTGAATCTGGTGGGCAGGGCGCTCATTCCAAAAGGAATTTTGTCTGGATTCCAAAGTTACGCAGTAAAGAGAAAAAAAAATTTATCTTTAGATGTTACGATATGTCAACTTCTTTGATGGCCAGCTAGTATTACAGCTGCCAGGGCGTGGTGGGAGTTGATCTTATATTAGTGATCTACATTAGGGTCCATTAAAACCAAAAGCTGATTTATAAAACATAGTATATAGGTTTAATTTAGATGTCATAGACACATGAAGGGTAAATATAGTGTGTGTGGCTTTTACAGAAGAATTCTATAGGGAAAATAAATATTTGCATGCAAGTATGAATGAGTACCATTAATAATTGCTATAGACAACAAATTAGGAAGAAATATGCAATGTCAATCTGCAGTTGCTAAGGCCAGTAAGGTTTTGTCATGTATAAATAGGGGCATACATTCTCGGGATAAAAATATAATTTTGCCTCTTTATAAATCGCAGGTAAGACCACACCTTGAATATGCTGTGCAATTTCGGGCACATGTTCTAAAGAAGGATATCATGGCACTAGAAAAAGTGCAGAGATGAGCTACATAATTGATAAAAGGAATGGAGCATTTTAGTTATGAAGAAAGGTTACAAAATTTAAATCTCTTTAGTTTGGAAAAACGGCACCTCAGATGGGATATGATAACATTATACAAATATATTTGGGGCAGGTACAAACCATTATCTGGAAATCTATTAATAAACAGGGCTATACATAGGACATGAGGTCACGAATTTAGGCGGGAAGAAAAGAGATTTAATCTAAAGCAAAGAAAAGTTGTTTTTTTTCACAGTAAGAGCAATAAGGATATGGAATTCTCTGCCTGAATAGGTGATTTTATCAGAGTCCATACAGATGTTTAAACTGCAATTGGATAAATACTTTCAAAAACATAACATACAAGGATATAATTTCTAATTAGTGGGATAATAGCTGCTTGATCCAAGGAGACATCTGACTGCTATTTTAGGGTGAAGAAGGAATTTTTTCCTAGTTTGTTGCAAAATTGGAAGCGCTTCAGACTAGGTTTTTTGCCATCTTTTGGATCAACAGCAAAAACATACTTGAAGAAGGCTGAACTTGATGGACGCAAGTCTATTTTCAGCTATGTAACTATGTAACTGGAGCTCTCATTGTAATCATATGGTATCTGAGGTTGGTAATGTGTCTTCCAGTCAGGGCCGTCTTTAATATTAATTGGACCCTGGGCGAGCATTTGCTTAAGCCCCCTGGACCCACTCTCTGGCATGCAATCACGCCTTCCACTCCAACGCAGTGGCAGAACTAAAGCAGAAAGTGGCCTGGTGCAAGAATTTTATTGGGCCCAATTGCAAGGTTGGACAAAAGTTAGAACCCTGTCGTGCAACTTTAACAATGCTTTGACAGCTGGGTTTACCAATTTCCCATGCTTGCAGGGTTGTATTTAGCACTTTGTTTGTGTGTTACAATGTAAGCATGTTTTTGTATGGAGTATGTTTGTGCGAATGTGTTTGTATGTGGCGTTGGTGTTTGAATACAAGTGTGCATTTATGCGTAGTGTTGGCTTTTGAATGTAGGCGTGTGTTTATATATAATTTTGGTGTTTAACATGGAGAAGTGTTTGTATGTAGCGTTGACGTTGCAATGCAGGAGTGTGTTTGTATGTATGTAGCCATACTGACACAGGCACATACACTGACACACACAGACACTGATAGACTGTAACACAGGATAATACACTGACACACACATACAAACACTGCCAGACATACTGACACACACAGAATCACATACTGACACACACACATACATACACTGCCAGACATACTGACACACACAGATACAGACATATTGACACACACACAGACAGACAGGTAACATTTTAATTTTTAAACCCACCCTCCAGTTTTCTACCTTTTGCTGGAGAGTGACTTTCCTGAGGGTCTGAGGTTGATGGGAGTGAGGAGCCTCCATCATTACTGCCTTCTCCTTTCACACGCACGGCTTCTCCTGTGTCCTCCCACGCAGCAGCTTCATTCTTAATGGGAGGAAGTGACTTGCAGCTGTCACTTCCTCCCATGCTACCGAAAAGCAAGGGGCTCAGTCACGCTGTTAAAGGGCCACAGCACCTGACCGGTCTCTGCTGATCAAGGTGGAACTCTTTAGAGTGCCGGGCCCAGCTGCATAGGCATGGGACCAAAAATTGTTAAGGACAGTGGGGCCCATGGGGCAGCTGCCATGGGCATCTAGGAGTAACTGGGCCCAGGACAGCTGCCCCATATTAAAGATGGCTCTGCTTGCAGTAAACTAGAACATTAAATTTTTCAGCTTTGGCCAAATTAGTTTTTTTAGTTTGACTATTTTGTCCTGCAGTTTAGAATTCACTTTGAACTCCTCACAATTCTCACTTTATTGAATAACCCTTTAAAGGACAAGCTGCATGGGGACGGTCTTTGAACAACGAATCATCTTTTCCAAAGGCACCATGAAAGAGAAACAGACATGTTTACTTTGATGAAGGGGCATCACTAAATTTGTTGTGGCCACACAGGTAATATTCTCTGAGAGAGAAGCAAACATACAAACAAACATTTTAGAATTTCAAAGAAAAACACTAAATGATACTCTGCCACCCTATCCTAAACCTTGTCTGCCTGTAGCAAAATACTTTATTGGTGAAAAGCAAATTCACATTATGTGTATTTTAAGGCAGGTTTATAATAGCAATGCATTGGCTATTAATAAATAGCAATAAACAATAACTAAAACAGGTCTATTTAAGTATATATGTATATTTATTTCAAACTAAACCTAGCAATTAATATTCAATGAATAATTATTTACAGATAAAGACAGAATAGCATGTATAGAAACATGTGAAGAGGAAAAAAATAAAACACATACACCGCTGGATACATTTACATATGCAAAAAAAACTTAGGATCCACTTAATGTTTAACAGCAGTTAGGAATGGCATTAAGGATCTTTGAATATCTGCAACCCTTCAGCATTCTACGTTACTATGCTTGTAGCTTTCCTCAGAGTCAGATATCCAGTGATCACATCTGTGGGAAGCATCCTGATGTAATTGAATTCCTCAATTGTGCTAAATCTTAACTTGGTCTGAGGGTCTGTGTAGTTGGCCTGCAAAAAACACAAGTGAAAAATTAACAAAAAAGAAAAATCAAAAAATGTAAGTTATATTTAGATCCAAACTATATTCAATACTCCAATTATAATTTTATTCCAGAGGAGATTGTGCATGCTTAACCTGGAGAGTATTCAGGTGTGGCCAGGTAAGGCGGTCAAATCCCAGATACCATATATCACAAACAAACTCGCTTTGAATCAGTACAGTGAGCAGACTTTATTGGAGTGACTTTCAGCTCTACTACCATTCTTGATAAAGGCTTTATAGTAGAGCCAAAACGTTAATTTCAATAAAATCTTCTCACTAGTCGGATACAGAGTGCACAGGAGTGAATGTGTGAAATATGTTTAAAAAGACACTACAGGCACCAAGACAACTTCATCTAAATTAAGATGTTATAGTGCCAGGAGCCTCCTGGAGGCACACTTACCTCAAGGGGTTAAACCATTCTTGAACGGTTCGTTCAAGGTGGCACTTCGGCGCTTCCTGAATTTGAAAATTCAGAAGCCGGATGTGGCTTGGGGAGGAGTGGACATCGCCGCTAGAGGCAAAAATGGTTAACTCTTTGAGGTAAGAATTGCCTCCAGGGACCTCCTGGCACCATAACAACTTAATTTTGATAAAGTTGTTTTGGTGTCTGGAGTGTCTCTTTAAACATATTTCACACTCCTGTGCACTCTGAATCAGTATAGTGACAAGACTTTATCGAATCAAAAGCCTTTATCAAGAATGATAGTAGAGCTGAAAAGTCACTCCAATAAAATCTGCCCACTGTACGGATTCAGAGTGTATAGGTGTTCTTTCGCGATGTATGGTATTTCCTTTAACTCAAAGACAGAGAAGTTAAATGGTGTTTTAATAGAGAATGGCTATAGTCCAGACTCTGATGGATGAGTATTGTAGTAGTGTGTATTCCCTCTGTATCCTGTATTCCGTTCTGCCAGGATACAGAGGGAATACCAACTACTACAATCCTCATCCATCAGGGTCTGGTTTACGTATTAGTTTCATTTCCTACAATTTGGCCTATATGTTATCCTCTGATTTTGATCATTATTTTTTTACATTTAGTAAAACTATTATAATTTTTAACCAATAAATTGATCTGTTTTTTACAAGTTAAGTCACTTTTTATTTTGCACTGTGGCATTACTACAGATTTCATTTGGGCAATTAGTTCCTTGTACTAATATGCCCGGTCATAGACTTTGAATATCTTTTATATGCATACATATCAGCCCTGTGTTGTTTTCACAAGCAGGGTTAAGGCTATGTATGATATAAACATTCCATCCAGGACTCATAGATTACTCGGGACTTATTCTATATTTTGCAATTTTGGTTTTATATTCTACTGTGGACGTTTTCATTTCATTCAAATTATGGACATTTTATTAAGAGTTACACACATACTATTCTGAATATTACACTCATTCACTATTTACTATTTGAATTTGATTCTACATTAATTTATCTAATTTTTAGCTCCTGGATACCCACACTATATTTTATGGTGTACCATTTTAAATATCAAACGATGTCCTATCTATATGCTCTTCTGGGAATTTAACACACCAAAGTTCCCAGATCTTATTGCATCCCTACAATTTGCCTGTGCGATATAATAACCTTTTTCCATCAAAGCAAATTGTTTAATCTGGTTTCTGACTTCTCCCCAACATATGTGACTCTGACTTTTCCAGTTACAAGCAATAATTGCTTTATAGCCAAAAGGATATGTATAACTAAACTCCTCTTTGCTGCTGACACAGTCTTTAGGCCACAATGTTGTAGTACTAATTTCAGATGAGGGCTAACAACAATTCTAAAATGTTAACCAGACGAGAAATCACCTCAAAAATCTCATGCTAGTATTCTGGATGAATTTGCACTCCCACCATATGTGTATGCAGCTACCTGCCCCCTCCCCACTTCGTGACCATACATTTGGCATTAGTGGGTCAAACTTATTAATCATTTGTTGGACAACATGCCATCTGAACAGTATCTTAAATTGGAGCTCCTGAATGTTTACACGATGTGTGGCTCTTTTTGTGACGCTCCAATTTTCATCCCATAATTTCACATTCTATCCCTGCATCCTTTGACCAACTGGCCCATGCCATGGGGAAACTCTCTGGGACCAGTCTCTCCAATATTTAGTACCATCTTTTTAGAATACCCAGTTGAAATTCATCACTAAACAACTTCTCAATTTGCAATATTAATTCCTCCTTGCCCGCTTTGATCTGATGACTCCCAATATAATATTGGATTCTATATACATTTAGATATTGATTTATTGGGATATTAATTGACCAATGTTAAATCTATCCCCCAAGGTCTATAGCTTTTATTTTATCTTTGTTTGGCCATGATGAGATATTCATATCCCTGATCAAGTTCTCAAATATAGAAAAGGGGGCCGCCTTAATTATACTATTTTTCATCTGATTTTTGTTTTTAACTATAATCCAGATTTTCAATAACTTCCCAGGTATACAACTCAGCGAAACCCTGATCTGGTTCCTTACTTCTTCATGATCAATAGAAGACTCGCCAGATTGTTCACTACCAATAGCTCTTGTTCAAGCCAATACTAGTTCTCCAATTTGGACAAAGGGCACTGGATTGTATACACATGAGCAAGCATACTAGCCTAGGCATAACCAGCCATGCGTGGAAAACCTACACCTCCTCGTTCCTTATGTCTATGTAATGCCTCTTTCTCTATACGGGGGTTTTTATTATTCCAAATAAATATGCCCGAAATCATTTGGAATGGTTTACACCAGGCTTTAGGTATCGGGATAGGTATCATTCTAAGACAATAAAGCCATCTTAGTAGTATATAGGCTTTAGCAAGATTCATTCTGCCCAACAGGGACAAGTTGAGAGCCTTCTATTTATATTTCCCTAAAGTACACTGGAACACTCGAACCAGCTCTTTAACTGCGGGATTTTTAAGCCTGTCTATAGAGCCACGTTGTCACGGGCCCCGGCCCGCAAAACCACGTGGCCGCACCCGATTGGTGCGGTCACTTAAACAAAAGACTAAACTTACCTAAGTTGCGGTGGATCACGGCCAGATCCGCCGCCGCGTCCATCACCAGCAAACACGGTATTCCTATGGACGCCAGCCGATATAAAAGCAGCATAAGATATAGCCCTGCCTCCAGCAGGGTTAGAGGTCACGCAGACGTGCGTGTGCGGCCACACAAAGAGCGCACACGCACGTTCTGGAGTCAGATGACCCCTGTCCACCAATGAATGATAGGGAAGGGCTATATAAGCCCATTTCTTTATTTCTTCTTTGCCCTTTTGTGGTTTCCACTTCTTTGGTTATCTGAGAGCGCGTTTGGTATTATTATAATTATTATTAGTATTTAACCTTGGCTTATTCTGACTATCCGTATTTCTGGTATCCCTGACCCTTTGGCTTGGTCTTCTCGATTATGCTCCTGTCTGTGTCCCTGACTTTGGCTTGTTTCTGACTAATCTTTCTACGTTACTACGTTTTTCTACGGTAATATGTTTTTCTAGTTGACTTGATTCTGCGTGTTGGGCCACAGCCCCCTCCTGACACATTTCTATCCAGAGCGGGATCTACCACACAATTAAAATCTTCTAATAATATAAATTTCCCTGAATCAAATTCTGGATCTGGTTTAAACCCCATTTACAAAATTAAAGGGACACTATGGTCACCAGAACAACTACAGCCTATTGAATTTGTTCTGGTGAGTAGAATCATTACCTTCAGGCTTTTTGCTGTAAACACTGTTTTTTCAGAGAAAATGCAGTGTTTACATTACAGCCTAGTGATAACTTCACTGGCCACTCCTTAGATGGCTGTTAGAGATCCTTCCTGGGTCATGGCTGCCTAAAATGCATCCAAACATTCAGTGTCTCCTTCCTCTGCATGCAGACACTGAACTTTCCTCATAGAGATTCATTGATTCAATTCATCTCTATGAGAAGATGCTGATTGACCAGGGCTGTGTTTGAATTGTACTGGCTCTGTCCCTGATCTGCCTCTTTGTTAGTCTCAGCCAATCCTATGGGGAAGCAATGTGATTGGATCAGGCCACCACTTCTGATGATGTCAGCAGACAGCTTGTTTTTCTGAGGCAAACAGTATGGAGAGCTACAGCTTCAGGCTTAAATACAAGTAAGATTTTGCTATATCTATGGAGGCATGAGGGGTGCAGGGGGGCTAGATTGTGGTTTTAACACTATAGGGTCAGGAATACATGTTTGTGTTTCTGACCCTATAGTGTTCCTTTAATTTTATTCTTATTAGGGTCGTATAGATTCAGAATGGAAAATAAGTTATCGTTCACTCTGCAAACTACAAACACAAATCTCCCAGATCTGTCACATAACTTAAAGATGCATTTGTATTTAATCTCTTTTGAAAAAAATATCTCCCCACCCCTCTGTTTCTTATCATTCAAAGCGGATAGGTCCCTCACTGGGTATCTCCCAAAATTAAAACAAAAGGCGTCAACTGTCTTTCAGTGCGTCTCCTGGATTGCGAGAATGGCTAATTTGAGACGCTAGAGAAGAATACTCTCTGACATCTGGCATCTACATGCAAAGTATGCCAATGTTGTGTGTATCCATTTCTTTTGTATTCAATGAATCTCAAAGACTAGCATTCGTCTGGTGGACTGCAGCAATGACAGCTCATATGCAGTGTGTCCTCAGTGATTCTGGGACAAATGTATTATTGCACTCTGCGCCTGTAGATCATGACTTTTTTTAATAACCTCTAAATGCAACAAGAGTGGAGAGTGCATTGCACCATTATAGCCACTTTGTCAGTTGAATATGCTACTCAAATAAATAAAGGATAACAATGTTGCAACAGGCTATTACAGGTTAACAGCAATGTTTATTAATAACGTGATTTATTTTTAATTTATCGTTTCTTATTCCTGCTAAATTTATTAAATTTAGTCTATGAGTACAAGTCCCAATCTATCTCATCGACATTTATTAAATGCCATTTTGAATAGCCAGCAACTGAAGACATTTACTATAAATGTAAAATCTGATGATCCATTGAATATATACATAAAATTAATTTACACTTCTGTAAGCTTAGAACTATTAGCAGAAGGGATTTTTCAAAGCTTACATTGCATAAATATTTATGCATATGCACGTACTTCTAAAATTGAGAGCCCAGCAAAGCAATAACATCTTAATGATTCTCTACATGGCATTTTCATATCAAATCAAGCCTGTTATGGCTTCAGTAGGACAGCACATTACATTCAGCAAAACAGTTATGAATATGTTACCTAAAACTTAAATACTATCTATATTTTCTTGCAATTAAAAAGTAGCAAATCTTGAGAGATAAAATACCCAAAGCTGTAAACTTGAAGAGACAGGTTTATTCCCAAAAACCTGTATTGCTCATGTCAAATAATTTATATTTAGATCTCATTAAAATGTCTGAACAGTGCACATGGGGTGTGCAGCCTTCAAATTAATTTACACCATGGCTATGCAATATTTTGATCTCCATCTCTGCCTGTATATCAGAAGTCATGCGGGCTTCACAGCGACCTTGTGTTGCTCACATAAATAATGTTTAACTTAGTCTGAAGATTTTTTTTTTTTTTTTTAAACAAACTCTAGCTTCAAATGTCGTATTTCATTTTAAATTTCAGAAAATCAGAAAGCATAGGAAAATAACAGGCTGATGTTTGGTAGGATAACAAATGCACATTTTCCTTACAAATCTCAGTTTCATCACAAATCTCTGTTAACAGTATTCTTTGCATCACACAGTGTTTTAGAAAGAACTTGTTACCTACAAAATGTGGTAAAGATTTTACCAATGCATTGTTTTGTCAGAATTGTTTGAAGATATACTTATCTATAGACCATCCACCCCACATGAATAGAATCCTACAATGCTGCTTGTCTTTAACCCCTTTGTGACCAGATCGTTTTTCAATTTTCTTACCGTTGAGGACCAGGGCTGTTTTTACATATCTGTGGTGTTTGTGTTTAGCTGTAATTTTCCTCTTGCTCATTTACTGTACCCACATATATTATATACTGTTTTTCTCGCCATTAAATGGTCTTTCTAAAGATACCATTATTTTCATCATATAATTTCCTATAAAAAAAATTATAAAATCATTAAAAAAAGCCACACTTTTTTTAAATTTGACCCCCCAAATCTGTTACACATCTACAACCGCGAAAAAACACCCATGCTAAATAGTTTCTAAATTTTGTCCTGAGTTTAGAAATACCCAATGTTAACATGTTCTTAGCTGTTTTTTTTTTTGCAAGTTATAGGGCTATAAGTACAAGTAGGACATTGCTGTTTTTAAAATATAGATTTTTTACATTTATCAATAGTGACATTGTAACGCTGTTATCTGTCATAAATCTCTGAAAAACACCCCACATGTACATATTTTTTTTAAAGTAGACAACCCAGGGTATTTAATATGGGGTATGTCCAGTCTTTTTTAGTAGCCACTTAGTCACAAACACTGGCAAAAGTTAGCATTTACATTTGTTTGTGTGTTAAAAATGCAAAAAACTATTATGAGTGCTAACTTTGGCCAGTGTTTGTGACTAAGTGGCTACTAAAAAAGACTGAACACACCCCCATTTGCAATACTTTGGGTTGTCTTCTCTTGCAAATGGTATGCCATTATGTATGTAATTCTAATTCCTGGGATACCATAAGGTCTCAAAGGCAACGTAACCAATCTGGCAAATTTCAATGTGAAAAAAAACAGAAAATCAAGCCTGATATTTGATCCTGTAACTTTCAAAAACACTATAAAACCTGTACATGGGGGGTACTGTTATACTTAAACAAATATTAGTGTTTCAAAACAGTAAAACATATCACAACAATGATATCATCAGGGAAAGTGCAGTTTGTATGTGATAAATGAAAAAAACTTCACTTTCACTGACAATATCATCGCTGTGATATGTTTTACTGTTTTGAAACACTAATATTTATGTTCAGCGAAGTCTATCGAGTAAAACAGTACCCCCATGTGCAGGTTTTAGGGTGTCTTGGAAAGTTACAGGGGTCAATATAGTGCTAGCAAATTAAATTCTCTAGACTGTCAGCCTGGGTTGTCAGGCAGGTCCCCCAAATTGCAATCAATAAAATTACTTCATTATGCAATAATATTACATAAATATGCATGTAGAATTTAAATATATATACACATATTTATATATTTGAAGTCTACGTGTATATTTATGAAATTATTTATGTAATTATGATGTATATGGACATGTATATTTCTTATTATTTTTATTTATTTATATATACACAATTTCATTCTAAGTGTATTTTGATATAAATATCAAAATACAGTTAGAACAAAATTACACATATATATAATATTTTATTGTTTACATTTTATTTTTAATTAATTTTTATTCTATAATATGTGTGTATATATATATATATATACACACACACACACACACACACACGTGTAATTTTATTCTAAGTGTATTTTTATATTAATATTATTAAAATAGTTTTAACATATATAATAAGATATATAATACACATAAATCATATATATTTTAATTTATTAACTTTTTTTTATTTTAAAACCTTTTTTAACTTCTTTCACCAGCAGGGGGACTGCCTGTCAGTTCATGCAGGCAGAACTATGGACGCATATTGCACCCATGTGACCGCTCTTTCAGATGCGGTAGGTTTGGGTCATTTTATAACACAAATGCTGAACTACAAAACCAAATAAACCTCTGCTGATAAGGAGGTTATGGGATATCTGTATTGCTCCTCAGTTACGAAAAATTGTGGAGCATGATTGTTAAGAAAACAAGTGACATTAAAAGGTAACTTGTATTTTTTTCATTTTTGCTAAAAAAAATTTAATGCATTATCCCCAAAACACAAAAAAAGTAAATTCCCTGTACAAATGATCCTTTAACATTGGCCAAGAGTAGTATAGTGCTGCTGGTAAGGAGCTCTGCGTACAATCATATTTGCAGGCTCTTAAGTAGTGCAGAGGCAGAAAGGGGAACATTTTTCTGTGCAAAATTGATTGCTCTGCGGTCTGTGTACAGCCCAGCACTTAAGGGTTGATGAGGGTATATGGTTAAATATAATACAAAATGCTGGTGTATTACACGGGTTACGTAATTGTGAATGTTGCTTTCAACAGGTTTATGTTAAGAATATTTTAGGCAACAGGTCCATTAAGGGGCATCAGTCATACCAAACAAATTAAATATAAACGGAAGCTATTCATGCCATTTATTTTAACACTACTTAAATAGCTGCAACTAATTATTTTACAAAGACATAAAACAGAAAGAAAGAACTCATTGCTACAGTATATTTAGAGATAATGGCAAGAAAACCAGCTGTGTGGCATAATTTAACTTAAATTTCAATAGAAAAGCAATGTGCTTATAAAGGCTACTCTCCTGTGAAATGGTTTAGTTATCAATTTTGGCTCAGCATGACAAACAGTCTACAGCAGCAACATCAAGCAATATGCTTTGGTGGATGGTTATTAAAGTAAAACATTGAATCGGTAGATACATTATAAAAAAAACCTTATGGCTAAACTCCTTATGGCTGAAAAGTGTAAACTAATTTTAAAACTTACAAAGTGAAACATAAAAATGTCATTTTTTTCTAAATGCTGTTTAAACATTTTAAAATACATTTTGTTTTGTGACAAAATAATTTAAGATGCTTGAAGCAAAACACACAATATTATTAAACTTTTTGCAAAGTAAAAGATAAAATGAACAGTATAGGGTCAGGAACACAAACATGTATTCCTACACCCTATAGTGTTAAAATCACCAACTAGACCCCCTGGCCTACCTAAATAAGAGTAAAATCTTACTTGTAGTAAAGTCTGCAGCTGCTGCCTCTGACCTGCCTGCTTACAGTTGAAATCATCAGAAGTGATACTGTGAGCCAATCACAATGCTTTCCCATATGATTGGCTGAGACTGACAAGGAGGAATATCAGGGGCGGACACAGCACATGAGGTATTTGTAATACCTTGGGTTGTCTACTTTTGCAAATGGTATGCCATCAATGTGGGTAATTCTCATTCCTCGGCTACCATAAGGTCTCAAAGGCAACATATCCAGTCTGTCAAATTTCAGTGTGTATAAACTGAAAAATGTAATGTGCTAAACTTGACACTGTAACTTTTCAAAACACCATAAAACCTGTATGTAGGGGGTACTGTTTTACTAGTGAGACATCGCTGAATACAAATGTGTACTTTATTGCAGCAACAGCTAAAAGTATGACATTCGCAGTTAAAATGCCATACAGAACTAAAAAAAATAAAAAATAAATTCTCAATATCTCAATTTTGTTTTATATTTTTATTCATATTAAATTATGTTTCTTATATAAATATTTGATGTGAAAGCCCTGTTTCACCTGAACAAAATGATATATAATAAGTGTGGGTGCATTTAATATGAAAGAGGTGAATTACGGTTAAATAGATATATAGAGCAAATTGCAGATTTTGTTTACGTTTTGTTTTGATCAGAACTTGTACAACTGCCTCAGTCCTTAAGGGGTTAAATAAGGATGTAAACTATCCAATTCTCATGCAGTGTTCAAAGTAAGTGCGGCATTGAGCTCTTAAAATCCCTATTTGCTACAATGCTGTGCCCTTCCTCACACTGGGAAGACCCAGGTACCAATAGGTACCTGGAGCGTCCACCTGTAGCTGGGGCCACAATTAGTGGCCCCCGATTGATCAATGATCAGTACGCAGTGATTAAACTCATACAGCTTTTTTTACAAAGTGCATGTAAAAATTAAAAATTAATACCATAAACTATGATAAAAATGGTACATCAATAAATATTAAAATATAAAATGTGAGAGTCCCCATTGTGTCTACATTTGCAAATGGCATGCATTTACAGAGTAATTTAAATATGGGATGTACTAAAGTACCGTATATACTCGAGTATAAGTCGAGTTTTTCAGCACATTTTTTTATGCTTAAAAAACCCCACTTGACTTATACTAAAGTTAATGTCTGTATTATGGCAATTTACATTGCCATAATACAGACCAGGACCGCCAGGCTCATTACAAGCCCGGCGGTCCTGCTGGGGGCTGGCAGAGAGCGGTTATTTACCTTTCCTGCAGCTCCTGTCAGCTCCCTTCTCTCTCCTCCGTTCCGGTCAGCTCACCTGTCAGCTCCACAGTAAATCTCGCGAGAGCCGCGGGGAACGCAAGACTTACAGTGGAGGAGAAGGGAGCTGACCGGAACGGAGGAGAGAGAAGGGAGCTGACAGGAGCTGCAGGAAAGGTAACAGCTCTCTGTCAGCCCCCCTCCTGCACAGCCCATCCACTGGACCACCAGGGAATGAGAGCCGCCAGCTAAAATGCAGGGAGGGGGGGACGAAAAAAAAATATAAAAAATTTAATAATATAATAAAAAAATAATAATAATAATAATAAAAAAAAATAATAAAAATGCCTACCCCCCTAACAAGGCTCTGCATCACATACACACACACACACTGCATTCATACACACACACACAGTATTCATACACAAACTGCATTCATTATATACACACACTGTAAATAAATATTCAATTACTATAATTTTGGGGGGATCTAATTTTATTTAGAAATTTACCAGTAGCTACTGCATTTCCCACCCTAGTCTTATACTCGAGTCAATAAGTTTTCCCCGTTTTTGGGGGTAAAATTAGGGGTCTCGACTTATATTCGGGTCGACTTATACTAGAGTATATACGGTACCCCAAAATACCCCATTTTGACCTCTTTAATTTGCCTTTTTTTTTTTTTAAATTGCAACGGACAGGTTATAAATTCAGTTCTGTATTTTCACAAAAATTGACAAAGGTATGTGAAAGTGGTCAATTTGTACTCAGAAGATATATCTGAGCACAATACAGTGGCAAATCCATCACAAGACAGTGTCCAATGCACACAATGGGGACATTGTTTAATTGAGAAGTATTTTGGTCATACTGGCCTATACCACATTTGCAAAATGCCCAGCAAACATGTAATGTGTATGTAAAAAAATGCAAATACTTTTTTTATACCACACTCTTACACACAAACTCATGAAATAATTGCAGCATGATAAGGTACAATATTAGCCATAGGAGATACCTTGGAGAGTATACTTTCACAAATGGTAGGCGTTGGTAGGGTAATTTGAACAGTCAAACTACTATAATGCCCCAAAATAAGACATAAATCCTGTGTCCAGCTCCTTGGACATTTGACACAAATTCATGGAGGATTGTAGAAGCTGGCAGCCTGCCCACTGACTATGGGCCATATACAAAGACTCTGTTCAGGAGTTAAATCTCCCCAACCACCATTAGTAGCTTGCCCCTGGTGCCCCTGGTTCATGCGAATGGAACCGAAAGCTGGCTCTCTGGCGACACCAAATTTAGGTGGAGGCAGAGCCAGCAGCAACGAAACTGGCATGCCACTGGAATAAAGATGAGTAAAATAACTTTTTAACTTAAAATTCAAAAAAAAATTTACAATTCAAAGAAATTCTTCTGCTCTCAGAATGTGTTCTCTTTGTAGGCATAAAGGAACACGATATTTTCTGGAATTTAAATATGTATACTTGACAATAAAATTTAAAAAAAAAAAAACATTTTAGCCCCCACCTTCCCCTCTCCCCCCCCATTTTGTCTTTAATACATTGAACGCAAACTGTCTAACAAATCACTTTTTCCTTTTTGTACTCTGTCTTTTCTTTGAAAACGCACAATAAAAGTTATTTAAATGAATAAATTGAGTTGTGTAGAAAGAACAACGATTTGAAGGTTTTAGCATTGCAGTAATTGGCAAATAATGGAATAATCCAAACGAGAATAACAATAACAAACACCATCAATCAACTAAATTGATAGCATACAGCTAAATAAAGAACTTCGGAACATAAACCATATAACATGGTATTTCCCTGCAGGTAACAGATACACCAATCTACTGTAATGTTGTAACTGTATAATAAATACACAACGTAACAAAATCCTACATCAGTGTAAATGATCAGTTATTTTGTCTCCATATGCTCAGGTTGTATAAAGGAGTATGCCCCACAAAAGAGGAGATCCTACATGGAAAAATACCCTCAATTCACTTCAATAAGGTGTCCCAATAACACTCCCCTGTAATGCAACATTTCAGAAGATTGCTGGGAATTGCGTCTTCTTGTAGATTGTGTTTCCAATTTCTTTATAATTCAAATGAGGACAGTGCAGCATTTTGTACATAGATATTCAAAGAAACCAGGTACTTACTGGGAGTCCTGAAATATCAGAGTACTTCTTTGCAGGTTTACAGGAAGGAGGGGCATCAATACTGAAATCTGGAATTGCATCAATTTACGTAGGTATTAGTTTGAATGTAGCCATGAACATGAAAAAAATATTCCAAAAAGATCAAATTCTGCATATAATGTAAACTTTGAAAATAAGTATTTCTTCTTCACTGAGTGAAAGGTTTGTTTAACAAATGTAACTGTTTTTAAGTAGTAACTTATATTGAGAAGTTAAAAATACAAAAATAAGGAAATGTTATCATTGATCAGCAAAACATGTATAAAGTTGATCTTCTTTGACAAACTGTTACTGAACTGCTGTTTTAAACATAAGGATGTTAAAGGAACATGCATAATTGTTAAAGAATGCAACACCAGAAACGGATATCACTTACTTATATAAGCACTTTTTTAATGTTCAAAATATATTAAAAAAATTATTTGTAATATCCAATTATATAGTTAATGATAGGCAGGATAAACCAAATTGGATCTATGTCATTCTTGCACTGGATACATGAAGAGTGAGAGATGAACCTGGAAGAGGAAGCAAAACTAGAGTGGTTTGAACCGAGAAATGTATTTATTTTTACAGAGAATAAAAACAAAACAAAACCCATCAAAGGGCATTGCTAGGGTGAAAAAACACCTAGAGACTGGAGCCAAAAAATTATTTGTTGATCCCTTCTTAAAGGAACCTTCCCAAACTCAACCCTTTAACATGTCACGTGATACACTAGCAGTTACAAAGATAGGCAGGAATACACATGCATGCATACATATACATAAAAAGGTTGGTTGTCTAGTAGTAGGATCACATCAAAAATGTCAAACATCAAACTTTAACCTCCTACGCATCTCCAGTAAAACTTATATAAATACTCCACTGCCCAAATGGGCAAAAAAAAATAAAAAAATCAATGTTTAGTATAAATGTATGATTTTTTACATGCATGCATTCATTGGGGGTAGATCTTAGAAGAGCTTGCAAGGGCTACAAATCTTATGAACTGCAGCCTTAGCAAGCCCTCCACATTTTCATGGAAAAAACTTTCAGTCTCTTCACTGGGAAATAACCAATCAGAGGTTTTTCATTGAGAAGCCTCTGAATTGGTGACCACATGCTCGCCGGATCATGCATGCTAGTGCACCGCATTGTGTGCGCGTGTCGGCTCGTGCATGTGTGCACAATTGCTCTGAGGCCTAGAAGAGCTGATCTGAGGTCTCTGTGGGAAGAGGCAGGCACGCTCAAGTAGAGTGTGCCAGCTACTTCCGTTAGCTTAGCGAAGCTAAAGGAAGGAAGCTACAAAGCTCACTGGCTGTTTGATTGCCAGGGGGGTGTACCCTACTTAATTTATAAAAGTTAAGATTTCTCATATAAACTGGGCGACACTAAGATACTCCTCATCCATAAAGCGCTTTTGGGGTGTTGAGTGGCCCTTTAAAGGTTCCTTTACGATCACCTGTCATAATTTAACTCATACTTCTCCCCCTCCCCCTCACCTCCTTATTCCCCCCATTTCTCACCACCAACACACTTCTATACTGTATTTGCTATTCTTGTTTTGGTTGAAACCTCACCTTAACCCTAAGTGTCCTGATTTCCAATGCTGCAATGAAGCCCCTAACTGTAAAGCTTAGTGTATGAGTAACTATACTTACCTTTCAGCGAACAAATTTCCTATCTACTGTCAACCTCTCTTTCTGTGTAAATAAACAATGTGGATGTGATGTCACATCACATTCCCACCCCTGATTTCATTTTCATCACACTGAATGGAATGTTTCAGGGTAAGCTATTGCTTGGCATTCCATCCGAGATTACTAGACCAAAATATTCTAGTCTATAGGGCCCCACATTCAGAGCTTGAGTTCCTCCCCCCTCCCTCCCGTCAGCTTCCTATAACGATGCCTGTGCTTCCAATTAACCCAATAGTTATTTTATGTTGATAACAATAATGTATATAATTTGCACTAAGTTTCTTATACTTTAATGCAGATTAATAATCACTCGTGTATTTTTCAAAAACAAATAAATAAATAATGTTCTGGCTTACATTGGACATTGAAACTAAAACATTACGTTAATAAGCAGCTACATTAACAAGTGTACGAGTGCAGAGCGCCATGCATGTTTGTATTGCTTAATAGAATGATATCTGTGGATTTGTTTGTTTATAAGTGCATGCAAATCAACTAAGCAGCTTACAGTTTGGCTCATTTAGTTGCCATGGCAATGCCCTTTCTAAAGCGAGAATTTGTTTCAGGTTCTTCCATGTCCTGTTCTTCTTGCCAGCTGCTGCTCCTCCAATCCCTGAATGCTGAAAATAAAAAGAAGTTTTACTAAGTCAATAATGTTTAATGCTCTGCACTGGAATGGATTTAATGTTGATATTGTTCATTTTAGAGACAGGCATGCCAAGATATCAGTAAGACCAATATACTATAAATGCATATTAAAAATGATAACTCCTTTTGTGGCTTAACAAATTACAGCACAATTTGATGTGTTGCAACAATGTGTTTTCAAAGGGAACATTTGACATTTATAACATAAATGCAGACCTCACTTTAAATAAATATACACATTTCAAAAAAAAAAAAGTCACTTAAACTCTGACCTGTGGGCCATTTCTGGCCCCCTAACTACTTTGTTTGCAGCTCACTGGTGTGTTGCCAGTTGTCTGACTCAATAGTTCCGTTGATATTTTAGCTACTGGCAAGTTTACCTTTAAAGGATCACTATACAGGGAGTGCAGAATTATTAGGCAAATGAGTATTTTGACCACATCATCCTCTTTATGCATGTTGTCTTACTCCAAGCTGTATAGGCTCGAAAGCCTACTACCAATTAAGCATATTAGGTGATGTGCATCTCTGTAATGAGAAGGGGTGTGGTCTAATGACATCAACACCCTATATCAGGTGTGCATAATTATTAGGCAACTTCCTTTCCTTTGGCAAAATGGGTCAAAAGAAGGACTTGACAGGCTCAGAAAAGTCAAAAATAGTGAGATATCTTGCAGAGGGATGCAGCACTCTTAAAATTGCAAAGCTTCTGAAGCATGATCATCGAACAATCAAGCGTTTCATTCAAAATAGTCAACAGGGTCGCAAGAAGCGTGTGGAAAAACCAAGGCGCAAAATAACTGCCCATGAACTGAGAAAAGTCAAGCGTGCAGCTGCCACGATGCCATTTGCCACCAGTTTGGCCATATTTCAGAGCTGCAACATCACTGGAGTGCCCAAAAGCACAAGGTGTGCAATACTCAGAGACATGGCCAAGGTAAGAAAGGCTGAAAGACGACCACCACTGAACAAGACACACAAGCTGAAACGTCAAGACTGGGCCAGAAATATCTCAAGACTGATTTTTCTAAGGTTTTATGGACTGATGAAATGAGAGTGAGTCTTGATGGGCCAGATGGATGGGCCCGTGGCTGGATTGGTAAAGGGCAGAGAGCTCCAGTCCGACTCAGACGCCAGCAAGGTGGAGGTGGAGTACTGGTTTGGGCTGGTATCATCAAAGATGAGCTTGTGGGGCCTTTTCGGGTTGAGGATGGAGTCAAGCTCAACTCCCAGTCCTACTGCCAGTTCCTGGAAGACACCTTCTTCAAGCAGTGGTACAGGAAGAAGTCTGCATCCTTCAAGAAAAACATGATTTTCATGCAGGACAATGCTCCATCACACGCGTCCAAGTACTCCACAGCGTGGCTGGCAAGAAAGGGTATAAAAGAAGAAAATCTAATGACATGGCCTCCTTGTTCACCTGATCTGAACCCCATTGAGAACCTGTGGTCCATCATCAAATGTGAGATTTACAAGGAGGGAAAACAGTACACCTCTCTGAACAGTGTCTGGGAGGCTGTGGTTGCTGCTGCACGCAATGTTGATGGTGAACAGATCAAAACACTGACAGAATCCATGGATGGCAGGCTTTTGAGTGTCCTTGCAAAGAAAGGTGGCTATATTGGTCACTGATTTGTTTTTGTTTTGTTTTGAATGTCAGAAATGTATATTTGTGAATGTTGAGATGTTATATTGGTTTCACTGGTAATAATAAATAATTGAAATGGGTATATATTTGTTTTTTGTTAAGTTGCCTAATAATTATGCACAGTAATAGTCACCTGCACACACAGATATCCCCTAACATAGCTATAACTAAAAACAAACTAAAAACTACTTCCAAAAATATTCAGCTTTGATATTAATGAGTTTTTTGGGTTCATTGAGAACATGGTTGTTGTTCAATAATAAAATTAATCCTCAAAAATACAACTTGCCTAATAATTCTGCACTCCCTGTAGGGTCGGGAACACAAACATGTATTCCTGACCCTATAGTGTTAACACTACCATCTAGACCCCATGGGCCCCTCATGGCTCCATAAATATAGTAAAAACTGAATACTGAATCACAGGATGCTGTGCACAGTGCTGCCCTGTGCTCTGCTGACAGCAGATCTGAGCGGATCAACTCCGAAGTCCCTCTGGTTCACTCTGAGTGACTGCAACTGGAGGTGTTCCTAGCTTTCAATGTAAACACTTTTCTTAGAATGAGAATCTCATTAAGCTGAAGTTGTTCAGGTGACTATAATGGCCCTTTAATGTATAGCAACTCAATTACATCTTGAGTCCTGAGAGAGTATGTTTTTTTTTCTTCTGAAAGGGCTCTTCACAGTACTAGTTCTAGTACACATCTGTATTTGTATCTGTGTGAAAGGGTGGGAACACGATTAAACATCTTCCCACTCTCTACCACTATACTGTGCACCAGATATTGAGTAGATCGTCCTGTCAGAAGAATGGTATAAAGACATGGAGAGGCAGACTACATTTGCATTCCCACTCTTTCGGTGGGAAACAGTGACTATGCTTGTGTACTAAACTGAGTACTCCATGATAGTGTGAACACTCTGTGTGTAGTATAATTCATCAAGATCGGGTATAGATATAGTGCAATGCAAGGTTGTAGGTGAGAGGACTAAAGCAGTGTGTACAGGTTTATTGCCGCAAGTTCGAGGTTTATGCTGCAATTGTATGGTTACAAGACAGTGTGGATATGGCAACATGTATCTGTGAGTAGAGATATGTGTGTGAATTTGTGTCTGTAAATATGGAAATGTGTGTTGGTGTTAAGATGTATCTGTGGCCTACATGGGAAAAGACAGTTTAGTCACAGACTTCTTGGGAATCTGAGTTTGAGACTCGGGTTGTAAGTTAATTTTCTGTTTTTTTATAAACCTTTAGCTAAAGTGACACTAAAGAAACCCTAAAACACGTCAACATGCTGAAGTGCTTAAAGCTGGGACTTTCAGGCGTCTGTATATTTCACAAAAATCACTGAAAGTGCCAAAGCCAGTGTCAGTCTGTTGGGGAAGAGATGCAGGGAAAAGTAAGTTTTACTTAACATCGGCTATCCACGGTGCTGGTCACTATCTCTATCCTGTTGTCCTCTTCAGCTTCTAGTGGGAAGAGCCATGAGAGTTCAGCACTGAGGTCTATGAAGGACCCTGCAAGGACCTCCATAGTTTGATGTTTAAAACCCACAGTTTAATACTTACCTGGATTTCCCAGGCATCTGTAGTAAGTCCCCCTCTCAAAGTTATTTTTTTGTATAATATATATCAGTTTTTCTCTGACACTTCTCAGCCACTGATCTCCATACAAAGTTGGACAAAACTTAAATATCCAATGTAAAAGAAGATCATCTGCTTTACTAACGTATGAAGAGGTGCCAGACTACAAAAGCCCGGGGGATCCAGGTAAGTGTCAAAATACGTATATAAAAAACAAAACAACAAAACAGTTTGACCATTAACAGATTTCCAGGAGACCTGTAGCACCATTACCACTACTGTGGACCAGTGGCATACACATGATCCATGGCGCCCCGGTGCGAAAATTGATTCATGGTCTCCCACCCCTGCGTTTCTCTGCGCGGGCCGGGGCCACAACACATGGCGGCTGGCACCTTGTCACAGAGATTGCAGGGCTGCGACCCCTGCGACCACTGTATGTACGCCACTGCATGCAGATACATACACTTAAAAGACCACTATAGGCACTTGAAGTATATAGGCTCAATGAAGTGGTCTGGGTGCCTGGTCCCTCTAGTTTTAACCCTGCAGCTGAAAACATAGAAGTTTCAAAGAAACTGCTATGTTTCACTGAGGGTTAATCCAGCCTCTAGTAGCTGTCTCGCTGACAGCCACTAGAGGCGCTTCCGCGATTCTCACTGTGAAAAACACTGTGAGAAGACGCTGGACATCCATAGGAAAGCATTGAGTAATGCTTTCCTATGGGCGGTTTGAATGCGCACGCGGCTCTTGCCACGCATGCGGAGCTGAGAGGCGGATCAGGACGGAGAGATCCCCAGCGCCAAGGGAGCGTTGGAGAAAGGTAAGTGCTGAAAGGGTTTTAACCACACACACTCTCACGAACAGACGCATACATACTAGCTAACAGACACACACATTTACTGACAGACACACACTCAGTGACAGACATACATACACACTCACTTACAAACATACAATCTCACTGACAAACACACACTCACTAACAGTCACCAAACAGACTCACTAACAGACACACAAACTAACACGCAGTAACACATTCAATGACACACGCACTAACACACACACACTGACCCTCACTAGCAGACAGACACTTAAGAGACATACACAAAAACAAAAAAAAACTCACTGACACACTAGCAGACACTCACAACTAACACACATATACACACACACACTCATATTTTTTTGTATTTATTATTTAATCCCCCAGCCTCCCTACCTTTGGAAGTGCTGAAGGGATTCCCTGGGGTCCAGTGGGGCTGCCCAGCGGCCGGTCCTGCAGGCGGCGAAGGAGCATTCTCCCATGAGCGCTCTCTGCCAAGCTCCCTCGCGCGGTGCTTACTGATGCTGGAGTTACGTCATATTCCGGCTACGGTATCAGTGCGATGTGCGCCAGGGAGCTGGGCAGAGAGCGCTCAGTGGAGAATGCTCCCTCGCACGCCGGCCCACTGACAGCACTGCCAGCCTCAGGGGGCCCTTAGATGGCCAGCTCCTGGGCCCCCCAGGAGAAGAGGCTGGAAAACTGGCATACATACCCGGTCGCAGGGCCACTAGGCCCCCCGGTGGGCCGGACGCGGTCGCAGCTGCAACCGCGGTAAGTACGCAAGTGCTGTAGACATTGGGTGATCAAAGTGTCTCTTTGAAAGAGATGTCATCATATTTTACAATATGCAACTAAATGTTGTGTTTTGAAGAATATGTTGTTCTACTTAATCTGTAAAGCAACATATACCAGATGGAGTAATAGAAAGTTTAACATACAAACCCTGGCCTTTTTATAATGTTTAAGCTCATACACATGTTAAAAAATACTTACTAGGAAATTTGGTTGTTTAAATGGCAGAGGTTTGACAGCTGCCTCATTCTGTGTAGTTGATGCATCTGCTGACAAGACTTTGTTTTCGTTCATCTTATCTAATGCAGCACTCTGAAAACGAAATGCACATTTTAAATGGTTTAAGGGTCTAACAAGAGGTGCTCTGTTATACAAAATCTTTATGTGTCAGTGTGGCTTTAAAGGGACACCATGGGCACCAAAACAACTTTAGCTTAATTAGTTTTGGTGTATAGATCATGCCACGCATCGCTCAATTCTCAGTTATTTAGGTGTTAAATCACTTTGTTTATGCAGTCCTAGTCACATCTCCCTGCATGTGACTTGCACTGCTGTCCTAATTTATCTGTAGCATCTTATGTTGAAACTTATTTTATTGCACATTCTGTTTAGTTTAGAATTTCTTATTTCCTGCTCTTAATAGCCTTCTTGGCCCTGCAGGTACCTCCTGTGCAGTGGCGTACATACCAGGGTCGCAGGGGTCGCGGCTGCGACCGGGCCCGGCCCACCAGGGGGCCCGGCCGCCCCTGCGACCCGGTATGTAGCCACATTGCCAGCCTCTTCCCCTGGGGGGCCCAGGAGCCGACCACCTCAGGCCCCCCCGAGGCTGGCCCTGCTGACACCCGGAAGGCGGGTGGCCGGTCGGGCAGGCGGGCGCGCGAGGGAGCACTCAGTGCTTCCTCTTCAGCTCCCTCGCGCACCGCACTGATACCGGAGCCGGAAGATGACGTCATCTTCCGGCGCCGGCATCCCTGCGCGGCGCGCGAGGGAGCTGAAGAGGAAGCACTAAGTGCTCCCTCGCGCGCCCGCCTGCCCGACCAGCCAGACAGCCGGCCCAGGAGCCCAGCAGCACCACTGGACCCCAGGGAATCCCCCCAGCACTCCAAGAGGTAAGGAGGCTGGGGGGGGTTAAATTAAAAAAAAAAAAAAAAACTAGTGTTAGTGTTTGAGTGTGTGTGAGTGTTAGAGTGAGTGTTAGTGTGTGTGTATGCTAGTGAGTGTTAGTGTGAGTGTTAGTGTGTGTGAGTGTTAGAGTGAGTGTCTGCTAGTGAGTGTTAGTGTGTGTGTCTGCTAGTGAGTGTTAGTGTGAGTGTTAGTGTGAGTGTTAGTGTGTCTGCTAGTGAGTGTTAGTGTGTGTGAGTGTTAGAGTGAGTGTTAGTGTGTGTGTCTGCTAGTGAGTGTTAGTGTGAGTGTTAGAGTGAGTGTGAGTGTGTGTGTGCTAGTGAGTGTCAGTGAGTGTGTTACTGTGTGTGTCTTACTGAGTGTGTGTGTTAGTGAGTCTGTTTGATGTCTGTTAGTGAGTGTGTGTTTGTCAATGAGAGTATGTTTTGTAAGTGAGTGTGTATGTATGTCTGTCGCTGACTGTGTCTCTGTCAGTAAATGTGTGTGTCTGTTAGCTAGTGTGTATGCGTCTGTAAGTGTGTGTGTGTGTGTGTCTTCAGCACTTACCTTTCTCCAGCGCCGGACTCCCTTGGCGCTGGGGATCCCTCAGCCTCTCAGCTCCGAATGCGACCGCGCACGCATTCAAACCGCCCATAGGAAAGCATTACTCAATGCTTTCCTATGGACGTTCAGTGTGCTCCTCTAGCGGCTGTCAGTGAGACAGCCACTAGAGGCTGGATTAACCCTCAGTGAAACATAGCAGTTTCTCTGAAACTGCTATGTTTTCAGCTGCAGGGTTAAAACTAGAGGGACCTGACACCCAGACAACTTCATTGAGCTGATGTGATCTGGGTGTCTGTAGTGGTCCTTTAAAGGACCACTATAGTGCCAGGAAAACATACTCGTTTTCCTGGCACTATAGTGCCCTGAGGGTGCCCCCCCCTCAGGGGCCCCTCCCGCCCAGCTCTGGAAAGGGGAAAAGCTCTCCTCCCTTCTCCTCCCCGTCGGCTGTATGCACACGCGCGGCAAGAGCTGCGCGCGCATTCAGCCGGTCACATAGGAAAGCATTCATAATGCTTTCCTATGGACGCTGGCGTGCTCTCACCGTGAAAATCACAGTGAGAAGCACGCAAGCGCCTCTAGCGGCTGTCAATGAGAAAGCCGCTAGAGGAAATAGGGGAAGGCTTAACCCATTCATAAACATAGCAGTTTCTCTGAAACTGCTATGTTTATGAAAAAATGGGTTTACCCTAGCTGGACCTGGCACCCAGACCACTTCATTAAGCTGAAGTGGTCTGGGTGCCTAGAGTGGTCCTTTAAGTGTGTGCATCTGCATGCACTGGCGTACATACCGCGGTCGCAGGGGTCGCAGCCCTGTAACCCCTGCGACCAGGTGCCCGCCAAGTGTTGCGGCGCGGCCCGCGCGCGGGGGGGGGCCCACGGATCAATTTTTGCACCGGGGCCCCATGGGTCATGTGTACGCCACTGCTCCTGTGTGTGATTAAAGTTACATTTACAGAGAATTAGGTAAAAACTTCTAAGGCAAATTAACATCGGCTTAAATTGTATTAAATTGTTTTCATATAGGCTATGTGTGAGTCACAGCCAGGGGAGGTATGGCTATGGTTGCATGAACAGAAATAAAACAGATTTAACTCCTACATGGCAGAGAATTTAACAGTAAGACTGCAGCGGCATGATCTATACACCCACACATAAATATTCTAATTTGCAGGCAAAAGAGGGGCAACCAGACCTAAAATCCCCCCTGCGATATCGCAGCCCTAAATATTTACATTCCTGGGACATTTTTGCAGCATTGCTCCAGCCACACACAATTCCTGCAGGCTGCACAGGACAGTCAAAAACAAACAAACAAACACCTTCAACTCAGTGCTCTAATCAAATAAATTACTTAGCTTCAATCAATCTGCAGCCTCCCAGAATCGTTATCCACAACAAACGATCTTTACATATGCATAGAACCACAAACAGAAATGGGATACGGCTGTACAATCTATAGAGGGAACATATAAAGGAAAAAAAACACACAATAGTGTAATACAATAAATACAGTGAATAGTGCGCTTCAATGGATGCACTCACAAGATAATGAAAGTAGAAGAGCATTCATGAGGTGCCTCCCCAGATAACATAGGGGGCTAGTGGTTCCCCTTTCCGGTGTAAAACGACCAATGGAACACGGGACTCCAGGTAAGTAGTAGTAAAAAAGCAATTATTTTATTTTCTTAAAAGGTGGACAAACACCATAAGAATAAAGGTTAAAAAGTGCAGCAATAGGTCCAACGCGTTTTGTTCACAACTAGAACTTCATCAGGGACCGCACAGTAAAAAATCACAGACAATATCATAGATTGTAAAATAACATCCTACTTTCCCCTTAACAGAATCTCTATAAATAGGGCTAGTCCCAAAGTCCCATTGGTCCATGGTGTGGGAGTGTCCAATAGCCAGCCATTCATTTGTCCAGGGGTATTATCCTCCAGCTGATGGTGTTTAGATAGTTTAGTTTAAATTGGGCGCGTTCAATGGGAAAGCCGAAACCGGAAGTGGACGTCTGCCTTCACTTCCGCGTTCCATTTGCGTTCCACATGCGTTCCAGACATGTTCCAAATGCGTTCCAAGTACATTCACTGCTCTTTCTTAACTAAAACAGCGAGGAGCCATCAATATAACTAGTCATCAAAACGGAAAAAGCCCAAAAGTGTTAAATAAACTGAATATAATTAATCTCTAAAAGAAAAAAAATGAATTAGTGTATAAGATATACAACAGCCATATTCAGGTGGTTCATATGGAACTTCCCCATATATTGTATATGTAACAGTATCATACACCATTAAATAGTGCCATATATGTCTATTTAAAGTGGCAGACATCTCCTTATTCAATACAAAATAAAACACAAATAATATATTCCTAAAAAAGTTCCCTCAATATAAATAATTATTATTTTAAACCATATAACCTACTTAGTACACATAACTGTATAATATAGAGATTTTTTTTTTCTCGTTTTTTTTTATTTTTTTTATGTATAGATTATGAATTGTATTGATTATAGACACTTCTTTTTCCATATATTCATACTGCCAGAACTACTCATATTCCCAAAGATACATATGGAATAATTTACATAGACAGGGAAAAAACCAAAAAATCAGTCCAAGAAACACACCAGATCAATCCCAATATTTAGACCCCTAGGCTCAAGGGTCTTTAATTTATGTATCCAAAAGGTTTCCCTTTGGGATAACTTTTTGACCCTATCGCCTCCCCGCCAATAGGGAAGGACATGTTCGATACCCATACACTTAAATTCTCTAAAAGAGAAAGAAGGACAATTACTGCAATGAGCAGAGACTGAATGAGTAACCAGTCCCTTACGTATATTATTTAAATGTTCCAAGATTCTGACCTTCAAGATACGCTTCGTGCGTCCCACATACTGTTTGCCACACGGACACTGCAGTAAATATACTACATAGTCCATGTGGCAACCTATTAATGATTTAATCCTAAAGGTTTCTCCCGTGATATGACTAATAAATTCCTTAGTTCTCCCCATAAGGGCAGTAGTGCAGGCTTTGCAAACATTACATCCCCTAAAACAACCCGATTCGGGGGATACGTTAGATCTATTTATTTTAATGGCATAGCTAGGGGCTAACATATTTTTAAAATTCTTATTTTTCTTAAATATCACCATCGGACGTTCAGACAAAGAATTACCCAAAATGGGATCTTGTTGTAAAATGGGCCAAAAATCACTTAGGCTCCTTTTAATCTTAAAATGATCCGTATTATATTGGGTGACAAAGGCTGATTTAAAATTCATATTCCCAACAATATTGGGAGGTTTGTCCTCCAAAAGTTTGCTCCGTTCAAGAAGACCAATTGATCGAATTTCTTTTTCTAGCGTATTCTTATTATAGCCCCTTGCACATAATTTATTTTTTATATGGGAGGATTGGATCTGGAAATCTTGAGGGCGAGAACAATTACGTCTCAATCTGGTAAATTGGCTTCGTGCTATACCCCTGAGCCAAGGTTTATGGTGACAGCTTTGTTGGTGTACAAAGCCATTACCATCTGTTGGTTTAAAAAAGCATTTAGTTTGAATTTGACCCCGATCACAAAAAATATCAAGATCCAAAAAATGGATCTCGTGTTTGTTCCACTCCGGGGTGAAAACAAGATTATATAAATTAGAATTTAAATATTGGACATAATCAAAAAAACTATTGGAGGACCCCTTCCAAATGATGATCACATCATCGATATAACGCCGCCAGAGCACCAGGCTCTCCCTCCAGTCATGCCGCGACCACACAAATAATTCCTCCCATCTACGCATATAGGTGTTGGCATAACTGGGGGGAAACCTTTTGGATACATAAATTAAAAACCCTTGAACCTAGGGGTCTAAATATTGGGATTGATCTGGTGTGTTTCTTGGACTGATTTTTTGGTTTTTTCCCTGTCTATGTAAATTATTCCATATGTATCTTTGGGAATATGAGTAGTTCTGGCAGTATGAATATATGGAAAAAGAAGTGTCTATAATCAATACAATTCATAATCTATATATAAAAAAAAAATAAAAAAAAACGAGAAAAAAAAAAATCTCTATATTATACAGTTATGAGTACTAAGTAGGTTATATGGTTTAAAATAATAATTATTTATATTGAGGGAACTTTTTTAGGAATATATTATTTGTGTTTTATTTTATATTGAATAAGGAGATGTCTGCCACTTTAAATAGACATATATGGCACTATTTAATGGTGTATGATACTGTTAACACTTTTGGGCTTTTTCCGTTTTGATGACTAGTTATATTGATGGCTCCTCGCTGTTTTAGTTAAGAAAGAGCAGTGAATGTACTTGGAACGCATTTGGAACATGTCTGGAACGCATGTGGAACGCAAATGGAACGCGGAAGTGAAGGCAGACGTCCACTTCCGGTTTCGGCTTTCCCATTGAACGCGCCCAATTTAAACTAAACTATCTAAACACCATCAGCTGGAGGATAATACCCCTGGACAAATGAATGGCTGGCTATTGGACACTCCCACACCATGGACCAATGGGACTTTGGGACTAGCCCTATTTATAGAGATTCTGTTAAGGGGAAAGTAGGATGTTATTTTACAATCTATGATATTGTCTGTGATTTTTTACTGTGCGGTCCCTGATGAAGTTCTAGTTGTGAACAAAACGCGTTGGACCTATTGCTGCACTTTTTAACCTTTATTCTTATGGTGTTTGTCCACCTTTTAAGAAAATAAAATAATTGCTTTTTTACTACTACTTACCTGGAGTCCCGTGTTCCATTGGTCGTTTTACACCGGAAAGGGGAACCACTAGCCCCCTATGTTATCTGGGGAGGCACCTCATGAATGCTCTTCTACTTTCATCATCTTGTGAGTGCATCCATTGAAGCGCACTATACACTGTATTTAATGTATTACACTATTGTGTGTTTTTTTTCCTTTATATGTTCCCTCTATAGATTGTACAGCCGTATCCCATTTCTGTTTGTGGTTCTATGCACAGGACAGTCATCTGAACCAGCCTGCCCAGTGTGTATGTGGAGCTGTTAGCTGGATGACAGGCAACTCATCACTGCTGAACTCCTCCTGCTGGCCGGAGGACTGTATTGCAGATAGCTGTGCTGGGCTTAAAAAAGAGCGTTTGACTCCTGCTGCTGCAATTACGTAAGTCATCATGTGATCACATTTTCTACAGTATAATAAATCATTATTAACCCCTTAAGACCGGAGGGCGTACAATTACGCCCTATTTTAGGCGTCTCTAAACGCCGCCGGGCGTAATTGTACGCCCTCCGGTCTTTCTTTACTTACCCGGTCGCCGGCGGTCCCACGCCGGCGAACGCAGTGGGGGGGGACTCCCAGGGAGCCCCCCGTGGCACGTCCGACCCCCTGGAAGCCCCCCGGCCAGGTGAGAGTGAGGTCCTTGCGAGGACCCCACAATCACATGGCCGGGTAGGCTGCCTGCTGCATTGCCAGCAGGGGGGCTGCCTGTAATGACAGGTGATCCCTCTGCTGGCTGAAAATAAAAATAAAATAAATTAATTAAGTGTAAAAAAAAATAAAATATATACTTAGATTATATATATATGATCTAAGTATATATATATATATATATATATATATATATATATATATATATATATATATATATATATATACACACACACACATATACATACACTGTCTAGGTGTATTTTACTATATATCAAATTACACGTAGACTGATGCTGATTAAATATATATATATAATTATTGTTATATATATATTTATATATAATATAAAAAAATTAATATGTAAATACGTTAAAAAATAAAATTAAAAAAATAATTAAAAAATATTTATTAATAAATATATAGATGTGTGTTATTTCGTTCTAACTGTATTGTGATATTAATATATATTTATATCAAAATACACATAGAACGAAATAATATATATATATATATATATATATATATATATATCTACATACATAAATATATACGTATATATATCACTATATATATACCTATATATAAATAAAAATATTTTTTTAAAATTATATATATATATATATCACATAGTATATATATATATATATATATATATATATATATATATATATATATATATATATATATATATATACATACATACATACACACACACATATTAATTCTACATATATATTTAAGTAATATTTTTACATAATTAGGTATCTTAATTAATTACAATTAGCGGGACCTGCCTGACAACCCATGCCGAAAGTAAAGGGAATTTAATTTGCTAGCACTATATTTGACCCTATAACTTTCCAAGACACCATAAAACCTGTACATGGGGGGTACTGTTCTACTCGGGAGACTTCGCTGAACACAAATATTAGTGTTTCAAAACTGTTTTTTTTGCATTTTTCATGCACAAACAGCACTTACACGAACGATATTATTGCTGTGATACTTTTTGCTGTTATGAAACACAAATATTTGTGTTCAGCGAAGTCTCCAGAGTACAAATGTACAGGTTTTGTGGTGTTTTCAAAAGTTACAGCGTCAAATATAAGGCTTGCGTGTCATTTTTTTCACATTAAAATTCGCCAGATTGGTTACGGTGCCTTTGAGACCCTATGGTAGCTCAAGAATTAAAATTACCCCTATGATGGCATACCATTTGCAATAGTAGACAACCCAAGGTATTGCAAACGGGGTATGTCCAGTCTTTTTTAGTAACCACTTAGTCACAAACACTGGCCAAAATTGGCGTTTTTTGCATTTTTCACACAAATACTAACGCTAACTTTGGCCAGTGTTTGTGACCAAATGGCTACTAAAAAAGACTGGACATACCCCATTTGCAATACCTTGGGTTGTCTACTATTGCAAATGGTATGCCATTATGGGTGTAAATTTCATTCCTGGGCTCTATAAAGTCCCAAAGGCAACGTAACCAATCTGGCGAATTTCAATTTCAAATGTAACGTGCTATATTTGACCCTGTAACTTCCCAAAACGCCATAAAACCTGTACATAGGGGATACTGTTTTACACGTGAGACTTTGCTGAATACAAATATGTGTATTTTATTGCAGTAAAAGCAAACAGTATTAAGACATTGACAGTTAAAATGTCAAGTAGAACAAAAAAAAATAAAAATAAATCGTATTTTCTCCCATTTATTTCATATTAAATTATGTTTCATAGCTAAATATTTGATATTAAATGAAAGCCCTGTTTCCCCTGAATAAAATGATATATAATAAGGGTGGGTGTATTTACTATGAAAGAGGTGAATTACGGTTGGACAGACATGTAGCGCAAATGCCAGGTTTTGTTTACATTTTGTTTCGTTCACAACGTGTACATTTGGCTCCGTCCTTAAGGGGTTAAACTATAGTTAGACTATAGACTGAGATAACTACATTTTGGCACTCTGGCTGTTTGCTGTGAAATATACAGTTTACTTGTTTTACTGACCTGACACAAACAATACCAGGCCTTAAATAAATCAGATTTATCCAAAAGAGGAAGTTATATTTATATCAGCACAGAAAAGCCACCATATAGTTCAGGCACACCATAAGCACTTATCATATCACTTATCAGGAAAGTCCTTGCAAATTAAAGCAACTTTGTACAATATACAAAGTTGCTTTAATTCCTAAGGAGTTCCCTAAAGTAATAAGTGCTTATGGTGGCTTTTCTGTGCTGACATAACTCCCTCTTTTGGAAATCAGATTTATTTGAGGCTATAACTACATGAAATGGTAGTGGCAAGACTTAAAGGGTTACTCCAACCCTATAATTAGAAGAAAATGCTTTTTAATGTGTAATGCCCCAACGATTGAAATAAACGATACAAATTTGCTTTTACTTACCTTAAAGGGACATTATAGTCACCAAAACTACTTTAGCTTAATAAAGTAGTATATAGAACATGCCCCTGCAGCCTCACTGCTCAATTCTCTGCCATTTAGGAGTTAAATCCCTTTGTTTATGAACCCTAGTCATACCTCCCTGCATGTGACTTGCACAGCCTTCCTAAACACTTACTATAAAGAGTCATCTAAAGTGTATCCTTTCTTTATTGCAAGTTCTATTTAATTTAGATTTTCTTATCCCCTGCTATGTTGATAGCTTGCTAGACTCTGCAAGAGTCTCCTGTATGTGATAAAGGTTTAATTTACAGAGCAAGAGATAAAATTGTTTAAAGTTAATTGATCTGACTGAAAGTGAAACCAGTTTTTTTTAATGCAGGCTGTATCAATCATAGGAAGGTGTGGCAAGGGCTGCGTAATCAGAAACAAAGTGATTTAACTCCTAAATGGAAGTGAATTGAGCAGTAAAACCTGAGAGACATGATCTATACACTAAAACTGCTTCATAAAGTTAAAGTTGTTTAGGTGACTATAGTGTTCCTTAAATCTAGCACCGGGCGAATCGACCTGGAGCCGTGCAGCACACCCTCTTCCTGACGTCAGGGCCTGCCGTGTGAGGTCCAATCAGTGGCTTCTCATAGGGAATATATGAAAGTACAGTTTGGAATGCCACCCAAACGACTGCAGCAAGATGTAGCCACTCGCCGGAACAGCACGTACTATATGTACTATATATACTACATGAACAAAAGCGAGTCTTAGCTGCGTACATGGCAGATTACAAACTGCCAGCAACGTTCAGTGAACATCACTGGATGTTAATTGAAAATATTGTGTCTCTTCTTGCTTCATTTAAACAGTTAACCAAGGAAATAATCTCAACTAATGCATCTGTTGCTGAAGTTATATCCTTGATTGCAGCACTGAAGCATCTGCTAGGAAAAGAGGTGCAAACAGACCATGGCGTATACACAGCTAAAAGCACTCTATTGGAGTCCAACCCCCTGTACTGCATTGCAACAGTACTAGATCCTCGATTTAAAGAACATTACTTCGAAGTGGGAAAAAAAGCAGTGTGCACGGAAAATGATACAGGCACAGTTGTTGGTGATGGAAGCATCTGGTGAAGGTGACTTGATGCATAGCACAGAACAATGTATGCCAGATAAACGGTCACGGCGTACAAGTGATGAGGCGCACACTCACTCGCTTTCTGACATGTTTGACGAGATTCTACAGGAAAGCAGCAAACCGATGCACAGCGGTGCCACAACAAGTGCAGCTACACAACAGCTGGAGATTTATCTCGCTGTACTACCCAGGAGCGACAATCCCCTTGACTACTGGCGCATGAACAAAGATAGCCTTCCATTGCTTGCACGCAGATATTTATCTGCCCCAAGCACCAGCACAGAGAGTGAGAGTCTATTCAGTGCAGCATCTCATGTTCTTGATGAAAAGATTTACCATCTCTCCTGCGAGAAAGCTGGGCAACTTTTGTTCTTGAAAAGAAACCTGCCACTTTAAATAGAAAGCAGTCCAATTTGTCAAGAAAATCTGTTAGATCTGATTCTGTTACATAGAATTGAATAAAGAATGTATATTGATATTGAATTAATATCAACAATATATTATTCTTCAGTCATCTATAACAAACAGATTTAACAGATTTTTATTTATATTGTATTTTTAAGTAATTTTCTGTCCAATTTTGGTGTGTTACTTGCAATAAAAGTGTGGTTATGTATTTTATTGGTATGTGGTTTTTCATATTAGATTCATTAAAATGTCTAATATTAATAAAATTATAGAAAAAACTATTTTAAAATAATTTAGGGAAAAAAAAGTAATTTTCGGTTTCCGGCCAAGGGCATCCTGAATTTTCGGTTTCAGACCAGAATTTTAATTTCGGTGCATCTCTACCCAAACCGCTTCATTAAGTTAACGTATTTTGATGCCTATAGTGTCCCTTTGCTTAATTTGCAAAGACCCCCTGACTGTGACATCAAGAGGAGTTCTACCCATCTTCTCTGGCTGGTCCTCATCAGTTACGCGCCAGGGGCCGACATCACTGCTGTACTCTTGCACATGTACAGCATTGAGGCCTATGGAGGACCCGCAACATATCAGGATCCTCGATAGGTAGAGCAAATTCCCTGCAGTCGTCAGAGGTATTGATACTTCTAGACTGGGTTAGCTTTGCCTCAGTATAGCAGTATAGCTCTTGCCTGGGTTGGAATTTTAGTTAAATCCAATACAGTCAAAATATGTATTTCATAAGGAGTCTATTTTTCTGAAATACTTGTTTGGGGGGCGGGGGTTGGTGACATATATATATACATATATATATATACCCATATTTATATGTGTCTGTGCATGGAATTTCTACAGTATACAGCTTACATTTTCTTTAGGGTTATATTAAAATTCAGTTTTTTACATGGTAATGTTGCTTTAAATTTTTAATTTACCCATTTTGGCTTAAATCTTGTTTCAGTCATAATGGAAAAACTAAAATTACACTGCAACTAGCCTGAAAGGAAAATTGTCATACTTATTTTAAAATCGGTACCACTTACTGCTTAGTGTGAAATACAAACTAACCAGTGCAACAACAATGCACATGCTTGCTAGTTCCTCCTATTAGCAAATGTCCATTTTCTACGAGTATAAAAAAATATATACATATACAAATATTGTTCAGACATCAACAGTTGTTTTCCTTTATCTTGTGAGTGTCATGGGAGGTTTTTATTTCATGTGTTGATCATGTTGAGATCAGGTGACTTTGAATAATAATGTTATGACTAATATCTGCCAATAATATTCAAACGTTTCCTTGTTGTATGAATACATTATACCAAGCTCCCAGTGACAATATTTATAGATATATTAAAAAAACTTAAAAAAACACTGATGCTTATGAAAAATAAAAGTGCTTAGTAGCACTTAGTTTTACAAATTAGTCACCCCCCAAAAATACAAAGAGCCATCTATTATTGCTAATATTACAGATGCCAAGCGGTGGATGCTGTATACACATACAGATAGCACGTGTACACCGCGATAGACAGCGCGCACTGCCTGCCAGCACCTACCACATCACCTATCAATAACGGCGAACGAATCCCTCCACCAGCTGCGGATTACTTTACACTCCGCCAGTCCAACACGAAGCGGCTCGCCAAAGCACGCACATTACTTCCGGGTGACGTCATGTTGGAAGTAACGCCGAGTCCCTCCAACTCTCGCGCGATCAGAGTGTTTGCAGCGCTGTGTGGTAGCATCTTCTGTTTGTTGAGTGCGGTTTGGGTTGGTGACAGCGCGAGCTGGTTATCCTCATTCAAGAGATTCTATCTGGATAACAATGTACTGTGTAAAGTTTGATAGAACACCGTCTGTAGAATAGAGCTTAGATAATATACTATTAATGCAGGCATCTGGAAACATTAGTGGTCATCCCTGGATAAGCTTTAACTTTATTTTAATATAAAAATTTATTTTTATAAAGTAGTATATACAATCCTTTCCATTCTAAGTTTAGTTTTGATAATAAAGTTGAAAACATTAACCTTAAAGTGGTGCTGTCACAGTCTTAGGTTGTATAATTTGCTAAATCCACTGTTGGTGACATCGCCCTCATTGGACCTGCCATCCTCATTCGGCTTTTTTTTCTTTAATATAAAAAAAAAAAAAAACAATCTGTCAGCACCAAAGTAGCTGTTTAGTCGATAAGGGAGTTTGCTGGAATTTCATTTTTATTGTACTTTTTGGCCCCCAGCCGCACCCCATTTAAGCATGTTTATGTGAGTGCAGCCAGCCCCTTGGTTTTTTTTTGGTTGTTTCTTTCTTTTTTCTTTTCCTTTCTTTTCTTTTCATTTCTTTTCTTTTTTCTTTCTTGTTTCTGCACCCCTCCCTGTCACAGGTGCTTCATCCCAGGGCCCTATTTAGCCTTGTACTGCAGAGAACTTGCGATGGAGTTTTCCACCCAAGTAAATAGCTAATTTAGAAGACATTTGGCGGCTGTTGTAGGACCTGCCAAAGATGGGGTATATTGACGTTGTGACAGACTTATGCAATTTATGATCATATAATGTAACTAAACCCCTGTTATTGTTTGCCTAGATTATGGGTTTTTTTTGTGTTTTTTTTTTTAAATAAAAAAAAAAACTAACAATCTGTCAGCACCAAAGTAGCTGTTTAGTAGATAAGGGAGTGCCCTGGATTTTCATTTTTACTATCCTCTTTAGGCTGATCATCTTATGGCAGGACCTGCCTCAACTCCCAGGAGCCAAGTACAGCAGAGAGGGGTATGGAGAAACTCACAGAGCTAATTTCACTGCAGCCAACCTGGGATATTACACTTCTTAAAGGGACACTCCAGGCACCCAGACCACTTTTGCCTTTGGGAGTGGTCTGGGTGCCAACTCCCACTACTCTTAACCCTGCAACTGTAATTATTGCAGTTTTTTATAAACTGCAATAATTACATTGCAGGGTTAACTCCACCTCTAGTGGCTGTCTACTAGACAGCCACTAGAGGGCACTTCCTGATTCATAGCAAAGATTTCAGCGTCGTTCATTTCCCCATAGGAAAGCATTGTAAATCTTTTTCAATGCTTTCCTATGGGGAGACCTAATGCGCGTGCACGGCATTGCCGCGCATGTTCATTAGGTTTCCTCAGCCGGCGGGGCGGGATCAGTCTCACCCACCGGCTGACGTGATTACTAGGAGGAGCGACGCCAACCCGAAACCACCGCCGAGGGACATTGGCGTGGTCTCAGGTAAGTGACCTGAAGGGGTTTTCACCCCTTCAGCTACCTGGGATGGTAGGTGGGAGGAAGAGGGTACTGATTGTTTTCCTGGCACTGGAGTTTTCCTTTAACTGCAGTAGATCTGCCCAGTGTGAAGAAGTGTTAAGTAGAGTAAGAATACAGACGCAAAGTAGTCCCTTCTCTGTTTTAGTATATCTCTAGACTAGGGGGAAACGTCAGTAGAATTCCAACACTGTCAGTATGAGTATTTCATAAAGATGATATATTTATGCAATACTTATTTTGCTGGGGGAGGGGGGAGGTGCCAGCACTAATTAAATGTGAACGTATTGTAATTTAAACTTGTTTCTGTTGACTAATTTCTTAAAATTGTGTTTTTTCACTTCCCTTCAATGGAGCTTCAGCGAGGTTTCAAGCATCCTCACCTCCTCTTAACAGATAGAAACAAAGCCATTAGCCCTCCTTCATGAGCTTGATTCTTCTTCTCCTTCTTTCCTCTATTTGGAAAGCCTGATGCCTTCTAAACTTCTGGAACCCAATGATGGTGCTGATTTGCTGGCTTAATTGCTATCATATCAGTCAATTGAACTTTGTGACATCAGTTGTCACTTCCTTATTCGTTATTAGTATAGCTTTGGGGCAGCGCTGAGATCCATGACGCTTCTGGTGTAACCGCTGCTGGTTCCCTTATTTACCACTATAACGTCTTAAAGCATAGAACTTAGTAGGGCTAACCATACAGATATCTTAGCCATAATTGTATATAGTTAGTGTAAGAGATCCTCTATTTACATATATAAATAATTGTGAATACAATATAAAATAAGGATTGTCTTGGAAGCAATAAAGTTTTGTCTTTTAGATATTTATTATATAAAAATATAAATATAGACATATAAAATCCATTGCAATAATTTATAGCAGAGTTTATAAGATTAAACTAAATGATTGCAAATATCATTAATAGGTTAACATACCCTTCTGAACATGTCATCATGTCAGCCTCTCTGTCATTTTAAGATGGAGCAGCATCTGTCTCCAAGTCTCTCCTCTGTGTCTTAACATTTAAAAGTGCACCTATTTATACCTTAGGTGTCTCTATTTTAGGGTTACTGTAGTTCATATATGAAAAAGTAACACTTCTTTTTCTTTATTCATTTTAGGACCTCCCTTATCTTGGCAAAAATACAAGTCCATAACTAAAGGGTGTATACGTCATGGAAATTTTCCTGACTTAGTTCAAGATGGCATCTTTACCCCTTAGGGACATAACTTCTGGAATAAAGGGGGATCATGACGGAATATTTCCGTCATGTGTCCTTAAGGGGTTAAAGTCTGAACATCCTTATCTACTTAGGTTACCACAATATATTGTGTAATGACAGAGTCATAGGATAGCCTTGAAGCTTGTTTATGCATTATTGTTATTGTAATTTGTCTGGGACAAAATGACGTAAACCTAATGTGTACTGAGGTTATTGCTTAACCCCTTAAGGACACATGACATGTGTGACATGTCATGATTCCCTTTTATTCCAGAAGTTTGGTCCTTAAGGGGTTAAAGAAACATCTATGAAAAACAATATGTTCCATTTCTAACACCTTGTCAACTTGCAATATCTGTTAAAGACAAAGTACACAGTTTAAGAAATACAACATTTCATTCTAAAACTTGTAATATTTGCATTTGCCCATAGCACTGGATTATGTCCACCTTAAAGCAACATGAAGCGCCCCGTAAGAACACTATACGTACAGCCTATAGGAATTATCTCAGGCAGTCAGACTCACTCCTACGGTCTGCCATGAGGGAGCTGTGTGTGCTACAGCAAATATTTTAGTGACAGACAGACGTGACTGTACAGCAGTCATGTCAAACTCGCAGCCTAATATTTATGCGAGACATGACGAGGGAGCGCTGAGTGTAAGCTCTCCCTACTCAGCTCCTCGCGGTGATGCCGGAAGCCGGAATATGATGTCACTCCGGCTCCCAGCGTCACTGCGGCGCGCGAGGGAGCTGAGCAGGGGGAGCTTACATTCAGCGCTCCCTCACTGCCTGTCTGCCCACTAGACCCCAGGTAAGAAACCAACCCAGTCTGTGTGTATAGGTGTATGGCTGTCTGTCTGTCTGTGTGTGTAGGTGTATGGCTGTCTGTGTGTATAGGTGTCTGTCTGCGTGTGTGTCTGTCAGTGAATATGTGTCTGAGTGATTGATTCTGTGTGACTGTCAGTGTGTGTGTCTTAGTGAGTGTGTGTGAGGGTTTTTAAGGACTAACGGGATCCGCTTTTTTAAGGTGCGATTGGGACTATGCCAGAGGCCGGACTCTGGACACTGCTTGTTGGCTGTTTTTTGTTTTTTCTTTAAACAGGGGTTTAGTACATGGGGGTGAATGGGATATAGTAGACTGGGGGGGGGGGCTAGGATTTAGTAGACGTGGGGGCTGGGGTTTAGTAGAGGGGGTGAAAATTTCTTTTTTTTTTTTTTTTGCGGCCCATATAAACTTAAGACTTGCTGTAAAATGAGTAAAACTGCAATAATTTGCTTTGCAGGGTCAAGGTACCTGCGACAGTGCACCCACACCACTATAATGTGCTGAAGTTGTCTGGGTGCCTATATGGTCCTTTTAAATGTAGGCACCCAGACCACATCAGCTAATTGAAGTGGTCTGGGTGCTGTGTCCCTATTGCATTTAGAGAAACTGTGATGTCTACATCGCAGCACTAAGCCAGCCTCTAGTGGCTGTCTACCAGACAGCCACTGGGGGGCACTGGATTCAGGTAAGTGGCTGAAGGAGTTTTAACACCTTCAGCCCAGAGTGAGGGGTGGGGCCTTTTACACCTACAGTGCCAGAAAAATGGCTTTGTTTTCCTGGCACTTGTTGTGGATCAGAAATGTTGATCTTTGTTATATTCAGAGGAAGCCCAAATTGTTGTTACAAGTGCACTTGGAGAAGCGAGAATTAGACACCAGACACCTGTTGGTATTCAAAATAAGCCTCTGACGTTTTATTCATCAGCTGAGTTTTATACATTAAAAAGTAAGTGCTTACGTGCAAATACTCTTAGAACAGTAATAGGAAGAGAGTACAGATAAGACATAGGGATGAGTGTCATGTACACATAACAAATAAGTTTCAAGGTAAGAGAGAACAAAATGATTAGAGCAGAGACATCTTAGGTGGGGGCTCTCTGCTCCCGGAACTTAGACATATATGGTCTTAATTGTTGTTTAAGCATCAAGCATTTCCTGAGTCCAAGTTAGCCAATTTTAATATAGGATATCATTATATGACACCTATAAGCTTGATCCTTGGAATCAAGATAAATTCTATCACAATCCCCTCTTTTGATCCAAGGGTCACCCAAATGTCCAAGGTATATCCAGGCCTGCTAGCCAAAGCCTGTGGGACTTTCATTTATTGCTTCACCACGGTTCCCTTGGACTGA